GTGAGGATGGTGGGACAGAGAGAAGAGTCCTCCCCCCAAAAAGTTCTCAAAAAGGCTCATATGGGATAATACATTCCTTCAGATAGACTGGACCTGCACCACATCTGATCCATTTTAAGCTATCCTGCTCATTAAATAAAGTTATATAACTGTGTTGTTGGTCATCTATAACCTTATTGGCCAAGATCACTAGAATCTGTAAGCAAATTGCTTCTCGCTCAGCCATTGGATTCAAACATTGTATGCACTCATATTCCTCCTTATCATCCCCAAACAAAATGGGCTATATTTTGTTTTTAAGGACAGTTGGCCATTTAAGGAAAGGACCTTAAGTGCCTACTACCTTCCTCCATAGCTTTGAGTCATGATGAATCACAGTCCTGTTCTATTTTCTGATAAGTTCTCAATATTTCATCTCCTCGCACCCCCCACCTAGCGCATAACACACACATCTTTTTATACAAGTGAGTTTTACATTGAACCTGTCCCTTGCAGTGTGTTTCTAATTGGAATGGTTTCATTGTTCACTTTTTCTAATAGTCTTCCCTGCAGCTTCTCTCCTATGCTGATGTCTGTAAATATTATAATCTTTTCTTTTGTCATTGTTTGGTTCTCAGGATGGGATGTTCCACCCGCCGCAGCCTGTGTAATTCTCTGTTTACCTGCCGAATTAATCTAATCTGTTTTCTTTTACTGTTGGAGATTCTGCTTCTGCTTTCCCAAAACAGTGTGCAGGGACTCGGAGCTACAGCTGATATTGGGCAGGAGATCCTGTCACTTTTTTTCTCTTTGTTCTGCTCCACAGCCCATGGAGCTGCTTTGAAGACAACATATTTATTTATTGGATTAATCCATTTTTTCCCCATGGCTGGCCAACATGGGTAGCAAAAAATGAAAGTTAATGTACTTTTGGTCTATAAATTCATCCAGAAAAATCAGAAAAGGTTTACCAAAAAATACTAACCAAACCAAATCTTTGGGTTTTCACGTGGGCATGATACCACTGGCCAACCTGTGGTATCCCACCTGTGATTCTGACCCATTTCTGCTCCTGGGCCAGCTCAGTAACAAGCAGATGTTCACATGTCTAGTCACCACTATGCCATGGAGCTGCTGATGCTGAGCACCCCTTACCTGCCACCACCACTGTATTCCCTCTGAGTGCCCCCACTATGCAGCATAAGGGCAGGAGCCAAGGACGAAAGTAGTAGGAGAGAGAAACTGGGACATTTTAAAAGCAGCAGAAAAAGTAGGAAGACAGGGAATTAATCCAGACTGTCCCTGCCAAACTGCGACAGTTGGAAGGCATGCAAATGCCTCCGGGAGAACTAGGACTCAGTTTCTATCTATTTTCAGCAGTTCAGCTGGCATTACTAGTTTAATGGTGGTAATGGTGGTGGTGGTGGTGGTGGTGCAAGGAACTTTAGAAAATTCTGCTGTGAATCTGCATAGGAACAGTCAGAGCTATAGGCAGTCATGGGAACTACATTCCTTATGCTTCCCAGCATATCTGGATGCATCCCACCACAACATACCTAGGCCAGTGGGAATAACACTGACAGCTATTGTATTGTAGTGATTATCATGGCATGCTAGGATCAGAGAGACATTTTGGTTCTAAACTTCACTGGATGACCTTGGGACAGTTATAGACCTGTTGGCTCAATTGGATTTATGTATGTTTTTATGTACCTGTTGGTTCAATGGGTCTACTGTAGTTGGGACTAACAAGTGGATATAACCCGTAATCTTCCCCCTACGCCAATTACATCCTTCTCCATTCGTTGGGGTTAGGGGCACAGGACCCCTGCAAATGTGGAAAAACCGCAAATAACAAAAACATTATGTTTTTACCTGAGAGAACACCTCCCTAGGAATCTCTAGGTCCTCCAGTGCAACTCTGTGGTCACCTTCTGCCAGACATTGGCCATAGAATTGCTCTGGAGGAGATACAAATGCCTAGTGGAGTGTTCTCTAGGAATCTCTGGGTCCTTCAGTGAGAATTTTGGTTAAAGTTGATCAGAGTTGAGCTGGAGGACCTAGAGATTCCTAGAGAGAACATAATAAAATCCATGAATAATCACATCCACAAAAGTCAAAGCCACAAATGTGGAGGGACAAGTACCGTATATTTCCATTGTGGGGTGTTGGTACCTTGTCCATCCCTAAGCAAACAAGTACAAAATGATGCCTTTCTTTATAATTTGAGGTTTTTTTGTTTTTTTAAATTATTTGTAGCATGCTCTGTCCTTTTGTAATGATCTCTTGATGTCAAGTGAAAAGCATGAAAAATTTCTTCTTGTCCTTCTTCTCATCCTCTTCCCATCTGGCTGAATCATTCATTTCTGGCTTTATTTTTTAAAACTTTTTTTTTTAAAAAGCTGACAGCAAGACTTCTGTTCAGAGGAGCTTGAGTAATTTTCTTCTCACCTTTTTGCCCCATCTCTCTCCCATAGAAATTTGACGAAATCAGCCTGTCGGAAGGAAGCACAGTGGATTTGGCACTCCCCTCAGATCTTCTGGAACAGATGCCGGAACTGGCAGAAGAGATGATGGAACCTGAAGACTGCTTTCCAGAACGTAAGGATGAGCTTGTCCAACTTCTTTTCTTAACTGGAACTGTTCAGGGACCTTTGCCATGTGCTCACAGCCTATGATCAGACCAATCATGATCAGACCAAGCTTTTACTGGACTGTCATGCTCCCAGGTCTAGGAAATAGGTTGTCAATGGACTGCAAATAGGTAGTCAATAGACAAGAAAAGAGGTTCTGATAAACCATGAGAAAGAACATCCTCATAGTAAGAGTTACTGTATGTACTCATGTATAAGTCTAGAAATTTTAGTCAAAAATTGACCTCAAAAACCTGAGTTGACAAAGATCCATAGGTCAATGTAAGTAATGTACTTTAACTCTTACAAAAAAAAAAAAAACCCACCATGGAACTATCCCCTGGTGAAAGGCAAAAGTATAATCTTTCCTGTAAGCACTGACCCTTCTCCGCTCTCTCATCCATCCAGCCTTTACTGTGAACACAAATAATTGTGCCTGCTGGAATTTTGTACGTTCCTTGGCATTGTTTTCCTTTGCTTTATCTTTTAGATCCTTTGTTACATGCTCCTAGGTTTTATCTTCAACCTATCCATGGGTCATATCAAAATCCATAATTTTGGCTCCAAAACAAGCCTTCGACTTATACATGAAGTCAACCTATAGTTGAATATATACGGTACTTGACAATGGAATACTCTGTCTCAGAAGGTGGTGGACTCTCCTTCATTTGAAGTTTTAAAGCAGAAGTTGGTTGTTGTTGCATGCCTTCAACTTATGCAACTCTAAGGTGAACCTGCCACAGGGTTTTCATGGGAAGATTTCTTCAGAGGGGTTTTTGCCTTTGGCTTCCTCTGAGACTGAGAGAGTGTGACTTGCCCAAGGTCATCCAGTGGGTTTCCATGGCTGAGCAGGGTCTCCATGGTAGTATTCCAGTACTCAAACTACTGCACCAGGCTGGCTCTCTTGGATGAAAATACCTTCCATCATTTCACAGAATTCAAAACTTCTGAATAGACAGGCCTATAGGTTTGCTAAGTGCTCTTGGAGAAACAGGATATCAGGAATGTGAATCCCCCTGGCATTCTTGATGAGAAATCATCAGTCTCCATGAGTGTTCTCACTTGATTACAAAATACAAAGTAGCTGCCTTTCTTTATAGCTTGAAAACAACACAAGGAGCCTTTGTTATTCAATGAACTTTCTATATTGAAGCAGAAAAAAAGTGTATGTGCAAAGTATGCAGAGAGAGGGAGAAAGAGAGAGAGAGATGTACAGATAAATGTATAACTGCTGGAATCATATAGAGTTGGAAGAGACCTCAAGGGCCATCCAATCCAACCCACTTCTGCCATGCAGGAACTCACAGTCAAAGCACCCAAAACAGATGGGCATCCAGCCTCTGTTTAAAAACCTCCAAAGAAGGGACACCACATCCCTCCAAGACTGTGTCTTCCACTGTTGAACAGCTCTTACTGTCAGGAAGTTCTTCCTAATGTTGAGGTGGAATCTCTTTTCTTGTAGCTTGCATCCATTGGTCCATGATCTAATCTCTGGAGCAGCAGGAAACAAGCTTTCTCCATCCTCAATATGTTTTTGTTGTTGTGTGCTTTCAAGTCATTTCTGACGTATGGCTACCCTAAGGAGGACCAATCATGGGGTTTTCTTGGCAAAGGTTGTTCAGAGGAAGCTTGCCATTTCTTTACCCTGAGGCTCATGTGACTTGCCCAAGGTCACCCAGTGGGTTTCATGGCCAAGCTGGGAATCGAATCTTGGTCTCCAGAGTCATATCCAACACAGTGGTGTCACTAGGGGGGTGCGGACCACACCAGGTGACACCCTAAGGAGACGCTCCTCAGACATCTACCTTTTGGCAGAAATGGGCTGTGACATTCATCTGCTTCTCTTTGAAATGCTTTAAGAGATGGTGGGAGTGGGGTCAAGCTTAGTGGGAGGAAAAAGGAGAGCTTCCCAAAATTTTAAAATTCAAAATTCAAAATTTTAAATTTTAAATTTTAAAAAGTTAAATTTTGATTCATTTTTAAAAAATATTCTTTTTCAATTTTCTTTAAAAACATCATTTTGTAACCAAATATTCACTATGTGTATGTAAATACATTTAGGTTGTGCTTATGATATAGTATAATTTTAATTTTGCTAGTTGTTTATGTCACATGGATTAGCATTACATTCAGTGGCATATGGGAATTACGATTTACAAGTAACATTAGTGCAGAAAAGAATTTCTAAGGATTTTGTATGGTGTGGAATGGGGAGAGGTCAATAGGGGGTGGTGGCACCATGAGTTACCGTACCGGGTGACACCAATCCTAGGGATGACATTGGTCCAACACTCAACCCACTAGGCCACATTGGTTCATGTAATAGATAGTTTGATATAGTTCACCGGTCTTATAGCACCAAGCTGGGAAGGCTATCCATGGGTTTCATAGCAGAGCTGGGAACTGAACACTGGTTTCTGGAATTGCAGTCCAACACTCAAACCACTATGCCATGCTGGCTCAATATATAACATCCCTTCAGATATTTTACCGTGGCTATCATGTCACCCCCTTAACCTTTTCTTCTCCAGGCTAAACATACCCCACTCCCTAAACTGCTCCTTATAGGGCATAGTTTCCAGACCTTTCACCATTTTGGTCACCTCCTCTGGACACTCTCCAGAAAAGTAAGAAGCATAATCTGGGAGGCTTGGAAAAGACTGATGGATAAATTGTACTTCCTCTGCACTATTATCACAACTCTTATAGTTTTGCACAATTTGAGCAACATGAGTATTGATGATCAAAAGGGCAAGGGGATATCTTGGCATCTGACAGATGAGGAGAAAATGTGGTCTGAGATTGAAGCAAACCAGGATTAACATCTCTACTAAGTATAGAAGGGATGACTGACTTAAACAAGTCAGCTTCATTTAAGATTTGTCCACCAGACCCAAAGTTTAGCTTGGTGTCCAGAATGGACCCCTACATTTTAAAAAGTGCAATGGGAATTTCAAGTTCAAAATTTGGAAATTATGCTGGTTTTGAATTTGTGTAGAACGTGAGAACCACGAACAGTCACAATGGGTTGTGTAAGGGTTGGAAAGAGTAAGAAAAGGGATATTTAAGCTTTTGTTCAATGAGTGCTTGAGGATTTTCTTCAGTCCTTGAAATCAGGACAGACGAAATCTGTGCTTGAAAAACTGAAAGTGAAGATTGACTGCATCTGCACTGCAGAACTAATGCATTTTGCCACTGCTTTAAATGCCATGGCTCAATGCTATGGCATTCTCAGATTTGTAGTTTTGTGAGATATTTAGCCTTCTCTGTCAAAAAGTGCTGGTGCTACAACAAACTACAAATCCCAGGATTCCATAGCATTGAGCCATGGCAGTTAAAGTGGTGTCAAACTGCATTATTTCTGCAATGCAGATACAGCCATTATAGAATGTGAAACAGAGATTGTCCATTCCTGTGATAAGTGATTCACTATGGCAAGGAATTTGCCTGATTGTATAATTTTAGTTTCCGCTGATTAAAAATAGAATGCTTACCCTTCATAATTCTGTTGATTGCCTTCCTAGACAGTAACTAATCCCTAGATATGTACAAAACCTGCTTTTATAAAATGTATAACAGATTAAAGCAGTAAAACAAAATTAGAACAGCCCATTAGAATACTGCAAATTAATTTTAATTATGCCTCACCTCCTGACCTCTAGCACTAAAAGGCTTTCAAATAAATGGTTAGATCATCTCTCCCAGTGTGCCCTTAGGAAATACAGATTTTAGGAAATACAGATTAAATATATATATTATCAAACTACTAGATCAGGGGTAGGCAACCTAAGGCCCGGGGGCCGGATGCGCCCCCCCCCCCGAGGCCTTTGGACCGGCCCCAGGCCAGTCCTGCCTCCACCGCCCGCCATGATGATATTGATTATTGTTGTTATTACTTGTTCTTGGGTTTTCTTGGCAAAATCTCCACAGGGGTTTTGCCATGGCTTTTCTGGGGCTGAGAGAGTGTGCATGCATATTTTTTAATTTTTTTAATTTTTTTTAAAAAAATATTTTATTTATTTATTTATTTATTTATTTATTTATTTATGGTGCTTCGGGCCCCCAATTGTCTGAGGGACAGCAACCCGGCCCCCAGCTTAAAAAGATTGCCTACCCCTGTACTAGATCAATAATACAGTTGTTCTCATAAAGGGTATAATTATGTGTCTACATTTTTAAATTTACAATCTTATTTATCAGGTAAATGTTTACATTTTATATATAGTTTATAGGGAAAAAATAAACATTAAACAAGATAATCTACTTTTGATGGACATTTTATTTTCTTCCACTTGTTCATTGGAAGAGACCAACCCCCTGACATGCAAGGGATACACAGTCCTACATACAACATTGTAGTTTGTCTGTTTCTTTAACTTAGGGCCTTTGCAGACTGCCAGAAATAGTGCAAATTGAGTCCACTTTAAGGGTTAGGGTTAGGGTTAGGGAATCATGGGAACTGTATTTTATTTGTGGCACCAGAGTTCTCTGACAGAGAAGGCTCAATGTCTCAGAAAAAAAAAAACAACCATTTCCCATGACTCCCTAGCACTAACCCTAACCCTTAAAGTGGACTCAATTTGCACTATTTCTGGCAGTCTGCAACGGCCCTTAGAGGTTCTCAGATCTGCAAATCTCAAACAGAACAGAGCTTTCTATATCTTCCTTTTCTGAGGTCTCTCTCTCCCTGGGTCTTGTTGCTTCCAAAGCTTCATTAAAACCACTAATAGGGCAGAACTAAAACACAAGGCAGCTGCTAAAGGGAAAACCCCTTGTTGAGTTCCCCATCTCCTTTTCTGTATTTTGTTTTTTGTTTTCCTGGTTTTCATTTTACTTTAAGCCAAGGTTTCACAACACTCAGCAGCTTCCCTTCTCAGTCAGTAGCTGCCAGAGGCAAAAGCAATGAAAAGCGAAGTATCACCTTGCCAGAACATGAGATGGCATCCCTCTGACCTATGAAGCTCTAATTGACTTGGGTCCAGGTTATCTAGACAACTACTTCTCCCAACTGCCAATCCATAGAAATTTTTAAAAGTATTTTTTAAAAGTTTTAAAAGGAACAGGCTGGATCAACAGGCATGATATGACAGGGTTGGCCCATCATCTCCTGCCTGTGCATTCAGTATCTGTTGTGTTTAAAAAGACAGAGAGTAACTGGCCCAATGCCATGCTGTTAGCTTTATGATTTAAGGTTAAGGTCTTTGGATCCCACATCTCTTTCTAATATTATTCCTTAGCCATTGCACTGTAAGGGTTGCCAGATCAGGGCTCAGCCTTGCTTTTCTAGTTTTCATAGGTCATCTCCAGGTAGGAATCAAGGGGGCAAATTCTCTAGTTTTGTGGGGGTCCTCTCCAGGCAAAATGAAAGAGCTTGGTGCAGATTTCCAGCTCATCTAATAGAGCAAGTTGCTACAATTTGAATGATTTAATTGATGGTTGCTGCAACTTTCTTTTTTAATTTTTTCCCTCCAAAGAATACTTGTGACACTAAAATATCATTTTTCTCTCATCGCTATCAAATATATATATATATATATATATATATATATACACATACATTATATACAGTTGACTTCCCATGTACAACCAGTTTGTATTCAACTATTCTTATTTTGTATTCAACTATTCTTATTTTATTCTTATTGTCTTCACTTTAAAATGTAATATTTAAACAGATCCTCTGTGTCTTAAACCAACAGCTTCTATATTTTTTGATCATTTCTGCTTTTTTCAAATAAATCTGTTATTTACAAAATTAAACTTTCCTTCTTACTATATTGCAGTATTGGGGTCCGGTCTTGCTCAACTTCTTCTATGTTTTGTTTATTTAGTCTAGCAGTGAGTACATCCATGCTCATCATTCCTATAACTTTCTGAAGTCATTCACTGATTGAGGGAACTTCAGTCAATTTCCATTTTTTTTTTTTTGCTAAAACTATTCTTGTTGCTGTTATCAAATGGTTGCTGCAACTCTCAAAAAGTCTCCAGTAGGTTATGTATTTACTAAGGTGCAAAGTAGATAGCTGATAAAGAGTGGTCTCTGGCCACTCTGGTTGCTATTGCACCGGGACCATAGTGACTGCCCTGCCGCAGTCCCAAGCTTGCCACCAACAGGAGCCAGATTATATTGGCTCCTTTTTGGTCTGGCTAGCACAAACCCTTACTTAACACAGTGGCATCACTAGGTTTGGTGTCACCCAGTGCAGTAATTCATGGTGTCACCCTTCCACACACACTGACCTCCTTTCATACCACACGATTCAGAATCCTTAGTAATGTTTTTTTGTACTAATGTTACTCGTAAATCGTAATTCCAATATATCACTGGTAATAGTTGTGACATAAACAACTAGCAAAATTAAAATTATACCTTTAAATTACAATTTCATATGCACAGTTGAAATGTATTTACATATACATAGCTTCATGAGGTTAAAGTAAAAATTTAGTAAAATGTGATGTTTTTAAAGAAAAATTTAAAAGAATTTTTTTTAAAAAAAAATTAACATTAAAAAAAATTAAAATTTTTAAATTTTAAATAAACTTAGGGCCTCTGCTTTCTCCACCCACTTAGCTTCATCCCACTCAAACCATCTCTTCAGTGTTTTATAAGGACACAGGCGAATGCCATAGCCCATTTCTGCCAAAAAAGCAGTTGTTTGAGGAGCAGTGGTGTCACCCTCCTTTAGAGTGTCACCTGGTGCAGTCCATATTCTCTGCACTCTCCTAGTGACACCACTGCCCTAGTGTGGCCTCAGCGCAGCCTCCGGCCACTTTGGGGGCATGCATCATGTAAACACCACACACCCAAAGCAGCTGGAAACAGCTTTATTTGGCCCATGAGTTTCAGGTCTTAGGTAGCTTCCTCCTTCCTTTCCAGTTGTTTTGGTACCAGGGTTCTGCATCTACCTTCTGGCTAGAAGCAAGTTGCCCAGATTATGATAGAATCATAGAGTTGGAAGAGACCACAAGGGCCATCCATCCCAACCCCCTGCCATGCAGGAACTCCCAATCAAAGCATCCCCGACAGATGGCCATCCAGCCTCTGCTTAAAGACCTCCAAGGAAGGAGACTCCACCAAAATCTCTGAGGGAGTGTGTTCCACTGTAGAACAGCTCTCACTGTCAGGATGTTCCTCCTAATGTTGAGGTGGAATCTCTTTTCCTGTAGCTTGCATCCATTGTTCTGGGTCTTGTTCTCTGGAGCAGCAGAAAACAAGCTAGCACCCTCCTCAATATGACATCCCTTAAAATATTTAAAGAGAGCTATCATATCACCTCTCAACCATCTCTTCTCCAGGCTAAACGTACCCAGTTCCCTAAGTCGTTCCTCGTGGGGCATGGTTTCCAGACCCTTCATTTTAGTCATCCTCCTCTGGACACACTCCAGTTTCTCCACATCCTTTTTGAATTCTGGTGCCCAGAACTGGACACAGGATTCCAGGTGGGGCCTGATCAAGG